CCCATCGTCACGTAAAATTTACAATTCACAGCAATAACTGAGCTGAAATCTTCAGTGCTGTCAGTTGCAACATTCATGTCTGATTGTGAGCAAGTTCTAGACCTGTACATATGAGGGTAGGAGAGAACACCCATGAATTATAGATTTTACTGTTGCTCATCAGGCAGTGATCTGAGGAATCTCAAGGCCCCACAAATTCCAATTTACAGCTGCACTCTTTCGAGCAGTTTCCTTTCAAACAACTGCATATTACAAGCATGTCTAAGTGACACTGGCTTCCTTTATGTCATGATGCAAACAGAGGGTGTAACTAGCTGAGAATGTAAGCACCTCAAAGCCCGGATAGCTTTTCAGACTGAATTGTTCATAATAATAATAATAATTATAATGATTCTTGCAGGGTCTTTCGTGTCGGGAGGACATCACGGGATTTACTGCAAAGCGTACTGTAAAGCATATTTTGTGGGTGTGCGCACGGCAATACCAACAACAACTTGCATTTATATAGCGCCCTTCACGCCGGGCAGTGCCTTAGAGCTCTTCACAGTGGCGGAGGGGCGAAGGCGGAGGGATTGGGGGGGGAGAGAGTTCCAAAACTTTGGGGCGTAGTGGTTGAAGGTGCGGCCGCCGATGGTGGAGTGGAGGTGCCGAGGGGACGAACAGGAGGCCCTTGTTTTGTCCCTATATCCTACAAACAGCAGTGAAGTGAGCGACCAATATTAATTTGGAAAATTGTAGGCCAGGCCACCGCGAGAGAGCAACTCCCTTTTCTTTTCAAAGCGTGCCATGGGGGACGTTCAACGTTATGAGCTAATGCAGCGAGGATCAGACCGTTCTAAAATCTCTGGCTCGTCAGAGCGGGTTTGAGCTATTGCAAATCTGCATTCACTCTCGTGCAAACCTCTTTGTATTTATTTTAGAAAGTTCTGTTTGACTTATATACACAAATATTTTTTAAAAATACGGTAGTCACTTTCAGAGCCGCTGATGAAAGGCTGTCAGATCAACCATTTCCTAAAAAAATTATGCACTGCCTTTTCAAAGCATTTTTCCAATTAATGGCCTGAGGCTAGTTCCTGGGTGTGAGTGTTGTGTGTGTGTGTGTGGGGGGGGGGGGGGGTGGGGGGGGCGAGGAGATGATTTACTGGTTTATACTTCTGCCTGGTCTGTTACTGCCTTTCATTATTTTATACTCCTTTTTTCCCCCTTCTGACGATTCCTGTAAATATTTTCTATTCTTCTGCTTAAAAGTGTTGCATCATTACCTGCTTTGTTCGGTTAATAAATGCACAACTAATGCCTTGTTCCCTTTTGTTCTGTTCGGTTTTTTCCCCCCCCCACAAAACATACAGCCAATTCACTTTACAGTTTATTCCGTGAAGCGCTTTGAGGCGTCTCGAAGATGTGATAAGGCACTATATCAAATGCGAGGATTATTATTTTTCATTACATTTTTATTGCCCGGATAGCTGGATTTTATTATTTAACTTCTATTTGTTATTTTTATTAATAGTGTTAATATTATTATAATAATCATGATTGCTCACTTTGTTCAGTTATTAAATGCTCAACTAAAGCCTTCTCCTGTTTTATATATATATATATATATAATAAAATGTATTGCCCAGATAGCTGATCCATATGGTTTTAACTTCTGTTAGGAACTCTTTGTGATCTGGCTGTGGGTTTTCGGGAAGAAATCATTAACCACACAAACAAGACTCCCAACTGCAAACAATAGTCTTCCCTCCCCTACTTCTCTCGCTCTTTGTCTCTCGCCAGCCTCCAGATTATTCCCAGCAGCCCGTTAACCCTTCACAACCCTTCATCTCTTGCTTTCACTCTCCATTTATTATGATCTCTCTCGAAGCTTTATTGTCCCTCTCCACACCCACCCACTTCCCCCATTTCCTCTTTCTTCCTGGTCCTATTTCTTGCTGTTAAGCCATTTGAGTCTTAAATCAACCTTTCTGGCTGTTATTTATGTATTGCCTCTTCTGCCCTTGCTCCAATCCAGTCTGTGTCTAATGCTTTCTCTCAGATAGCTCCATTCGCTGTGTTCTTTGCCTGTGCTCATGACTAGTTTCCAGGGCAGAGTCTCACTCAGGGCTGAAGAGGGCGGTAGTTAAATGCAATGACCTCTTTCTGCCCGTGATTCACCAAGTCTATAAAACTGGAGGAAATATGTCTATCGAGAGTGTCCTGTTTTATGAGCAACACGGTCGAAAGTTCATGCGTTGCGATCGTTTCGGCCCATTCCAGCTTTTCAGCAAGTGGTAGCTTGCATTTATATCGCAGTTCTCCCTCGAACGCGGTTCCAGATCCCTTCCTCCCCACAGCTCATGTTAAATTGAGCTCAGCGTGACAGAAACAAGACACAACAATGCAATCAGACTGCAATGATGTAAAACAGTTCTTTTTTTTTAACTCAAGGACAACTGGGCAATAAAAAATACTTTTGATAAAAGCAGAGGGGTTCATGTTTATCATCTAGCATCAATGATCTGTAACAGAGGTATATCTGATGACACAGAATATATTGTAAAGTGAATTGACGGTACATTTTGTGGGCAAAACGCGACAGCCAATGGCGTACAGCAGTGTCCCACAAATAGTGGACAATTTTTTTTGACGGGATTATTGCCCCCGAATAAACGATCTGCCAATCGACTAACAATCGGGTTCCTACTTATTGCCTTGCACCTTGGGACGTCTTCCTGATGTGAAAGGCGCTATACAAATGTCATTTGTTGTTGTCCAGAGTTGCCGGATTCAGCATCTCTGCCCCCACACTCTGAAACTCAAGAGACTATCCCACAATCCCTCCCCCTCACCCCCTCTCTTGCCTCCTTTAAGTCCCGTCTTAAGACCTTCCTCTTCGATCGTGCCTTCGTCCACTCTCCCACCAACATCCCCCCCCCCCCCCCACCTTGCTCTCCTCCCCTTCTGACCTCAACTCCCAGCTCGGGACCAAAACCCCATTGATTGCCCAGCACCCGGGGAGGTCTTTCCATCACGAAGGGCGCTATGCAAGTGTAATTGGTGGTTGTTGTTGTTGTTGTTGCTCGGCAAACAGAGCCAACAGAGCGGAGTAAAGAAACCCGCCTAACATCTCGTCCTGCCCGGGCAGGAATCGAACGCGATTCCTTTCGCTCGCTCGCTGCTGACCAAGGCAAACTATGTACAGAGATATATATACAGATATATATATTTACATACATATACATATTCATATGTAAACTATATACTGTACGTATTACAAACTACAGACAGGGACTCCAAACTGCATCCCGCTTTGGCAGAGAAGGCGCAACGCATTCCCGAACGAAACCAAGCGGGAAACGGAAGAGAGAAAAAAAAACACACACACACACACAGGCACGAGGGAGTGGGAAGAGGGGAAGAAGAGAAGAAGGAGGGGAAGGAGGTAGCGGTGGTGGAAACCCTTGAGATGTTGCGTTGGGTTGCATTGCAAGATTAATTTGCAACGGCATTGCACACGACAAATACACCCCACGGATGCACACCCCCCCCCACACACCCACACACACACAAAAAAAAAATCAACCAAATAATTCCCAGCCCTTTCCCTGCTATGGCAATAGGATTTGCTGTCAAGTCCTCCACATGAATGGGATGGAGAACAGCTGAGTGAGTGAGTGGCGTCTTGGGAGTGACAGGCCGGCCGGCCAATCAGACCGCGAGGGGCGGAGCCGAGGGCGGGGCGGAGGCGGGACCGATGTCGCAAACGCGATGACGTGTGAATGGAAGTGGGCGGGGTAGGGGGGGGGGCGGTGACGACGACGGCGATGACGAGAGTGGGGGGGGGAGGAGGAGGGGGCGGGGCGAAAGCTCCACCAATCGAGACGAGGAGGAGCTGGAGGAGGAGGAGGAGGCGTGGCGGCGCGCGGTGCGCCCTGGGAGTTGTAGTCCGCACGTCACGCCGGCGCTCGGGCGGGGCCGCGGGCGGGACGGGGGCTCAGAGACTACAAGGCCCAGAGAGCCCTCCTCCCTGTTTGGGTTGAGGCGGGCTTTGGTGTCTTGGCCTCCATTGGCGAGGGTGGCGAGGGGAGAGGGGGGAGGAGCGGGTCCGGTGGCGACGTCGGGTGTATATAGAGAGGGAGAGGAGGTGCCGCTGCGCAAAGGCTTTTTCGGCGGAGGTCCCCCCACCAGTGAGGTCCAGGGCAGCGGCAGCGAGAGGAGAGGAGGAGAAGGATATAAAGGGATTGTTTGGGGACCGGTTCTCAGCCTCTCGTGGCTCGTGCAAGTTCGGCAGGAGAAGAAGTCAGTGGTAGCCCCCACCCCCCACACCACAACCCACACCACAACCCACACCACAACACCCCCCACACCACAACACCCCCCACAGCACAACCCACACCACAACACCCCCCACCCCCCACAGCACAACCCACACCACAACCCACACCACAACACCCCCCACAGCACAACCCACACCACAACCCCCCCACCCCCCACACCATAACCCCCCACATCACAACACCCCCCACACCACAACCCACACCACAACCCACACCACAACTCCCCCCACCCCCCACACCACAACTCCCCCCCACCACCTCCTCCAAACAGCTGTCTTTCCTTTGCTGTTGGGGTGATCCTTTTTTTTTTAACACACACACACCCCCCACACCCCCACCCACACACCCCCCCCACCACACACACCCCCACCCCTCACCCACCACCCCACACTCTCACTCTTACCCTCCCCCCCTCCTCCTCCCCATCATCACCCCTCCATCACCCACTCACTCTTCTCTCCCCCCCCACACACACACACACTACACACTACACACTCTCCCCCCTCCTCAACACACCAAACACCTCCCCCCCCCCACCTCCCAGGACGAGACTTGTCACTTTTTTTTTATTGATTTGATTTGATTTTTTTTTGTGGGGGGAGAGGGAGGGACAGAGAGAGAGAGAGAGAGAGAGAGTGGGTGGTTTGGATTTTTTTTGTTTGTTTTTTTTCTTTGGACTTGGGGTGTTTTTTTTAATATATATATATATATATATACACCACGTTCTCCCCTCGAACCCCCTCCCCGCGTCCAATGAAGGAGAGAAGACAAAGCCAGAAGCTGAACGGTAAAAACGCGATGGCTAATCAAACTGTCAAGTGCAAAATAGTGGTGGTGGGGGACAGTCAGTGTGGGAAGACCGCTTTGCTCCACGTATTCGCCAAGGACTGCTTCCCAGAGGTAAGTCTGTGGTTCACCTGATCTATCCCCTATCCCCCCCTTATAATAATAATAATCCTCGCATTTGATACAGCGCTTTTCACGTCGGGAGGACGTCCCAAAGCGCTTCACGGAACGCACCGTAAAGTGAACTGACCGTACATTTGTGGGCGAACCCGGCGGCCAATTGCGCGCAGCAATGTCCCCACACGAACGGTCGTATGGATTGAAAATGACCCAATTTTTATTATTCTGTTTGGTTTTTGGAGGGGTTGTTATTAGGCTCTGTGTGGAGTAAGGAAACTTGCCCCAAGGTTTCGCCCTCTGCCTGGAATTGATCTCGGGTCTCTCGCTTGCAAAGCGAGTGCTCTAACCGCTGAGCTACAGGACTCCACTTTAACCTTAACCCCCCTTTTCTCTCCCTCTTGCGATCTGCTTTTGCTTTACTTCTAAATCACCCGCAACGCAACAGCATCCAAAACCCTCTCGAAAGGCAACCCAGACCACTCGTGTCCAAATGTATCCAGGATGAATAGTTTTACTAAGGATGCATACACGTGTGTGTGTGTGTGTTTTATTACGCTTGTGAGGGTAAGAAAGAGATTTTTTTTAACCTCCCACCACTCTTTCCCCCCCACCCCCCGGCTGATCAGTTAGAATTAATTGCAAGTAAAGAGGACGCTGGAAATAGCGGGTTCCCCCCGTGAAATCCGCAGTCGATCCACTTGACAGTAATGCTCTGCCAAGCGCTTCGAGAACGCCTCAAAGACGTGACCGGCCGCGGGATCGAGTACGCGGATTATTATTGTGGCTGTCGTTGTTTTGGCGGCGTGGTTCATTTCTTCGCCCACTCGGTAGCCCTGGTGAGATCGTGACTCGTCTTTACTCTCTCTCTCCTTTGCTATACAATAATAATCCCTCCAAAACTAAAAACAATAATTAAATTGGTCATTTTCAATCTACGACTGTTTGTGGGACATTGCTGTGCGCAATTGGCTGCCGCGTTCGCCCACAAATATACAGTCAATTCACTTTACAGTGTGTTCTGTGAAGCGCTTTGGGACGTCCTCCCGACGTGAAAAGCGCTATATCAAATGCAAGGATTATTATTATTATTATACCCGCTGGCTCGGGGTTTACTGATATGTCACCTTGCTCCCTTTGTCATTTTTTTNCACATGTAGAGCTACGTGCCCACGGTTTTCGAAAATTACACGGCGAGCTTTGAAATTGAAACGCAAAGGATAGAGTTGAGCCTCTGGGACACTTCAGGTAAGAAGCTCGCCTTTCCTGTTTGTGTTCTAAGTTGCCTTTTTAAGAGGCGCCGTCACGACATTTCACGGCAAAACCTTCCGAAGCGCTTTCGAGGCGCCCTCCCCGACCTGAAAGATGCTACATTCGAAGGCGAGGAATATTTATTTTAGAATAACTTTCATCTCCTCTCCTACCTCGGTCCCTCTGCCGGCCTCGGGAGTGAGGGGAGGGTAATTTGTGCGTGCCTGCGGGTGGGTGGCGAATGGCTTTAACACCAGAAAACGGCAGAGACAGCTCTAAGAAACCTTAACCAGATGGCCATGTGTTTCTCAGTCCTTGCATCAAGAGAGCTTTACTCCTTCTCCCTCCCACCTCCCCCCCACACCCCTCCGTTTGTTAAGCAGCGACACAAAAAAATTGTGGTCACTCGACTGTTTGTGGGACACTGTCGTGCGCAATTGGCTGCCACGTTTCGTCCACAAAATACACAAATCAGTCCACTTCATCATTTATTCTGTGAAGTGCTTTGAGACCTGACAGATCGCTCTATATCAAATGTAAAAGATCGTTATTATTATTGTTATTATTTATCATAAATAGTCGTCCTGCAAATAGTTTTCTCCTCCATCTTTTGTTTCCTGGGAGTGGAGAGGGCTCCACACACTCTGCTGGTTGTTTGCCCAAGGCAAGTCGGTATAGCCGAGGTGGATTGAGTCACCCAGTGACCGAGCTAGTCATTGCTTCCTTATAAAGAGCTTCTCCAGAAATTGTTCAGATCGGTGACAGGGTGGAGCTCCTGATCTGAATGAGTTTCAGTGAACATTAAAGCGAATTGCAGAAAGAAAGCCAAAACCCACGTGGGAAGTTTTATCTTAAGCCGAGTCCCTAGTTGCCTTCTCAACCCTTCTCTTCACGTCCCTCAGTAATGTTGTCTGTGGGCTTGAGATCAAAGAGATCGGCCACCGTGTAAGTAACTAAGTGGGGGCTGGGGGAGAGGAAAGTAACCAGATAGGAACAGATGGGAAGGGACTTTGAAGGTGACCCATTTGCTTGAACAGTCGTCTAACAAGCTGGATTGTTGAACTAACACATTGCACTAACAGAACGTCGCAAACGCACCTTTTTTTTTCCCCTTTGGTTTACTGATTTTCCGAAACACTGACTGTCCAGCGCCTTGCAAAGCCCTCCCGACGCGAAAGGCGCTGTACAAATGTAATCTTGTTGTTCTTGTCGCCTGCATCTCGCTGCTGTTTGTTTATTTATTATTATTTTTTTTTAAAAAAAAAGAAAAGTTGAGCGCGGACACCCTTGCTTTCAAATGCCATCCAAAGTCAGCGATCGCTCCTTTCTGCAGTTTATTTATTTCTATTCGCGCGTGGCAAATCAATCATTATTTAAATGAATGCGCGCTCCTCAGGCAATTGCTCGGATTCAATGCTACCATTTGCTACCATCAAGGGGGTTTCAGAGAGAACACATGGGTCCTGGTCGGAGTCAACTCTGGCAAACATCTCCTTGCCTTAAAAGAGAATTAAGCTTAGCCTCTGTTATCGCTGATAATTTAAGGAAAGGGCACGTCAAAAAAAAAAACAGCGGTGAGACTGCTTTAGTTTCTTGGTTTCAAACCAAGCAAAGAGCCTTCATTTGTCACTTGTCAACAGAGACTAACCGAGACATGACCAGATGCACAGTGTTCCTTTAAATGGTTTCCGGATCATATAATCTTAACACGCTGAACGGAGCTGGAATTTTCCCCCCCTTCCCCCCCACCCTGCTTTCCAAGCTGGTATGCCAGGAATTGTGTCACACATCACACAAAGACCAGACTGGAGTAAATCAGCCTCTAGCAGGCAGGACAGGCAATGAAAGCAGAAGGTTAGCCCCTTCCCTCCTCCCTCCCTCCCTCCTCTTCCCCTCTCCCTTCCCCCTAATAAGGCAAAGTGTACTTTTGTTCTGGAAACACTATCGTGGACACACAAGCCCATTAAACCATTGTCCTTGCTCTGTTCTTCTCTTCAAATTTGTCAATCTTCTGACAAAATAAAAGCCAGTTGGCGCCAAATAAAAACCGAGCAGGTTTAATTAACGCTGTACGGTTTAGTAAATAAATGTCCATGATTTTCTGGGTTGCATTTCCACGGAAAGAAAGCTCTCCTGATTGTGAGCAAATTATACAGTCAAGTTACTCTAAGCATATTCTGCTAAGCGCTCCTTGAGATGTCTGGAAGACGTGATAAGGCGCTACATCAAATTGCGAGGATTATTATTATTAAATTATTTTTAAGAAACCATCTCAGCTCTGTATCCGAACGGCAATGATTTTTTTAGAAAAAAGTGCAAATGCCATAGACAGGATATTGGGCAATAACTGAAATCAGATTGCGGTCAATAAATTGCGTGTGGAGTGCACAGGCAGCTTAGTGCTTGTTTAATTAAATCTGCATATTAATGTGATTCGGTTTGTTGGGTAAATTGTGCCTGTCTAAATAAGCAACAATACATCTGTTTGTTCGTGATCAGCAGATCTCTAGCTGTTGGCTGTGTTAGGGAGCGTAGCACAGCAGCACTTTGCCTAGGTTTTTTTTTAAAAAAAGAACTTAATCTATGCGCAAACAACCTGAGGACTCTCACAGCCACAGCGTGCGAAATCAAAATAAAGGGAGAATTGCGTTGAGTTCAAACTTTTTAAGTTCATCGTCACTCACTTCAAAAATGGCACTGTCGCAAAAGTGTTAATGCAAGTCACTTGCTAAAATATCCAGTTGATATGTACATGCGTGTTTTTAATATAAAAATGTAAGGATTATTATTATTATTATGTACATTGACTGCAGTGAACCTTAAAGTATTATATTTGCGTCTGAAACTGTGGCGTGAGCTTGAGGTTTGGTGTTAGCTATACTGAAACCAGTGAAGACTTTCACTGCACTCTGAATAATTTAGGAATTGTGCCAAGGAATGCTCTTGAGCCATAATTGCTAAATTCTTCTCTCTTGCTGCTAACCTCCTTTTGCTCAGATGTTTGGCTTGAGTGTTACTTGGCTATCTATTCCTTCTCTCTCGCGCGTTCTCTCTCTCTCTCTCTCTCTCTGAAAGATGGTTGATCCAAGCTCTTTCGATGGCTCAGTAGGTAAAAGGCGTGCCCACTGGAGCACTAAGCTGTGAAGGACATTGGTTTAGTTTCTGTGCAGAGCTATGGGTTCCTGCACCTGAGTTCTATTCTGTGAGCGCTGATGTAAAGTCGAAAGCAACAACAACAAATTTACATTTACATAGCGCCTTGCAAGGCAATGGACGGTCCAGGGTTTTGCACCCGGTGGTGGGGCCTGAGGGGATGGGTAAACAACAAAAGATGCAGTCAAAGAGGAAGGACTTGAGGTGGACCTTGAAAGAGCCATGGGAAGGGATGACTCAGAGGTGCCCCACGTCACTGAATAGTCTGCCAAAGGTCACTGTCTAGGAACGTGTTAAGAATGTCTAATTTGCCGGTACTCCTCACATCAAGCGTCAATGCCTTCAGAGGCAACACAAACCTTTTGAGACCTTGGGATGGTTACAGTGTTATGACGGGGGGGGATCCAGACCACTTGTTTTCTTTCCAAAGACCAAGCGATGGATTTTAACACGGGAGGTCGGGGACTGCTGCAGTGATGAGGTTTCTGCATTCATGCTTGGCAACTGAGCATGAAGGCGGACTGTGGAATGGTTATTAAACAGGAGCTGAAGCATTAAACCTCGTCGAGGTCTTTTTTTTTCCTTTTTGCAAATGGATCTAAATTACAATAATTCACAAAGCCTCAAACATTTCCCTCTGCCCCTCCTTCCCCATTCATCGCCCTCCCTCCAAAAACAAATCAAAGGGCTTTGTTCATTTTTTTGGTCAGCTGCGTGTCTGACATATGCGGAAACCCATCACCGTTGCTTAAGAGTCTCCAAACCACACTGAGAATTCCATGCATCTCACCTACACGTGGAAATTCCAGAGACAGATTGTTGGAATGGGGGGGAACACACATCCCGCTTACTTAATTCTGGAAAGTATGAGGCACAAATTATCAGGAGATGAGGCTTGGCGACTCCAGAGTGCACGTTGGGGTAACTGCGGGAGTCTTAACCAACTGAAACCAAATAGCTTTGTCGAATTACAGCAAGGCCTCTCGTCTGACCAGAATTGTTTGCATCTCTTAAAATAACGTTAAAGAAAGTCTGTGGTTTTGGTTTTAAACTCAATAAGTTAATCGATGAAGCAATAGATTTCTCTTAACAAATTGTATGCCGACTGAGATATTTAGCTATTTAGTTACAGGATTCGTAAGCTATTGTGGAGGTTTATGGAACTAAATCCCTTTTACTTCCCTGATATTCTGCCACATTCCATATGCACATTATCTCCTTTATTAGTGAAAGAGAAGTAACAATGATTGGTGATGTGCCAGAATATTAATTTTCGTCATCAGACCCCAGCAGTTACTGGTTTTTGAAAGACTCCTGGGTTGCTTATTGGCTCCACTGGAACTCACAGAGCATTTAAACATTGTGAGGGGCCGCTAGGTTGGAATATTACAGGATCAGAGCGTAAAGGGAGGGGAGTGGAAGAAGGAATGGATTCTAAAATGACTTTAGAGGACAGTCATGGCTGGAAGGTGAGCAGAAGCAAAACTAAGTGCGAGCAGGAACCTCTGTAAAGATATCTCAACGACGTGATAAGGCGCTATATCAAATGCAAGGATTATTATTATTATTAACGGATGCTTTCTGGGGCACACCACAACACATGACACAAAAACTATGTTGTCTCTGTCTCTATATAACGCCTTCCCCCACCTCCCACAAACTTCTTTCAAACACAGATTAGACAGTTTTCTTTGAGGGAATAACATTATGGGATATAGTACATAGGTAGTTTGGGGCATATGTGCACGCAACCACCAGGAAGTGGAAGGCAAACTAGGAGGACCTTGCCTTTTTTTTTCGTCTAGCATTTCTTATGTTCTTGCAGCATCCTTATTAACTACAAG